ACAGTCAGTCACGTAGTTCTTGGAACCTTCTCTCCCAGCTTCCTCCATTTCTTTCTTACTGGCACTCTGGTCACTCCTGTAATATGCCACCCTCACCTTCCTCCAAATTTCTCCCGCTTTTCCACAGCAGTTGTCTTTGATCGCCTTCCTCTCTCCTTTTACATTCTCTTCCTTGGAGACCACATCTGCAGAAACAGTCAACCCCCTCTGCTACACTGACAACTTACAGACATGTTTCCCTGCTTTCAGCATCCTTTTTCTATCCAGAACATGACCCGCAACCAAGGCTCGAATATCTAAAAAACAGCTTAAGGTAAACTCAGCTAACACAGTTCTTAACTGCGCTCAGTCTCCCTAATAGTATCCTTTGTCATTCTCCGTGAACCACTGTATGGTCCCGATGGTCACTTTGCCAGAGGATACCATCTTACCTCTCTACAGGTCTCTACGCGCGCACCATGCTCAAATCATCCTTTCTTTCTGGTACGAGACCTCAAAAAATTAAAAAAAAAAAAAAAAAGAAGAAAAAAAAAAAGGCATGCAACTTTTACCAAGTCTGCTCATTTTACCAAGTCTTCACATTTCATGTAGCGCACTACCACAAAACATATTGTCAAGGTCACACAGAACCAGACAGAAACAATACAATCCTACTCATCTGAAATATGGTTGCAAAAACAGTTTTCCAAGACTGTTGCTTTCGCCATGTAATCCTTCCCTTTGTATATTCCCCACACTCAGTTGCATCCCATTGAAATTTATTACATTCACAGCTCAACACACCCAGATTTCTACCTTGATTTGCCCCATAACACAAACAACAACCATCCAAGAGATACAAAGATTCTGTTAACAACAGAAACAGATCTTGACATGCAGGTACACTTGCGGTAACAGTCATTGTAATCATTAGGGGAAAACTTTAAATTTCAAAGAGCTAGTTTGTCAAATACATAGCAAAAAGAGTTACACTTTATGTTATTAGCTGCAATCAGCAGGTAAAGGCTCACTTGTTTCTAGGCTGCAAACAGTATCTGAATTTAACAATTTTAAGACTCTGTAAAGTACATATCAACAGACAGCTTCTGCACTAGAAAGTTTATACCCCAAGTACTTAAGAACAAGGTATAATTTGTTTCACAAATAGGTAACAAACAGATACAAATTCCCTAAGCAAATAAGGAATTGCATTAACTTCATGCTACATAAATATTTTAGACTCTTGAAATCGAGTCCTGATCTTCCTAAGGTAACACATCAAAGGTACAAGATAGTTTTGAACAGAAACTGGGGAGAGGTGGCGGTCAATCCAATAACCTAACCACAAGACAATACTTCCTGTAATTAACAGAGTGCAAGATGAAAGCAGTCTTTATCCATGAAATACCCCAGCCTTCCTAGGTGTTTGAACCTAGTCAGGTAGCTAGCAAAAGTATCAGCTCTGTTTGTACACTGTTTTGGACCCATATCCTGTATATTCAATTAGGAAGGCCTATTCTCTACTCAAGGAAAAATACAAATTTTAGAAATCACATATTCTTTCTAGATTCTGAGAAGTTCCTATGTGTGAGTTCCTAGACATAGTTATTTGATGTCAGATACATGTTCACTATCATGTTAAAGAAAAAAAAAAAAAAGGTTTTACTACAGTATTTTTCAGGACATGGAGTGTTTACAAGCTCTGCAATTCTGAAAAGCACCTTTAGATTCCAAATTCTGATTTGGCTTTCAAGGGAAAGATAAATAAATAAAGTGCTATATATGCAACAGTGAATGAAGATAAACCCTTTGATACCAGCCATGGTAGGTACAGCTAACAGATTAGCATCTGACTAATACATGCAATCAAAACATCATCTACACAAAAACGGTAACACCAATCAACACAGCAGTCATGCTGCTAACAAGCAGTTCCTCTCTATGTCCAAGATGAATACTGAAGTAAGAATACAAAGAGCCTGTTTGCTGCTAAAATCATACAAATTTCTGCGAGCAGAAGTGTTAATGCAGTAGTTCAGAAAAGACATTGCATTTGCATAATTTTTAGCTTTGATTTTAGTCATATTGCTTACTTCTATGTGTATTTATATATTTTGATAATGGCATTTAAGTATACTCACACAAAAATGTAAAGAGATAATCTACTCGACTGTTTCCTCTCACCTCATACTACATTGCTAGCCATGTGAATTGCAGAAAAGCCATATACAGCATGAATTTGTAGACTTTGGTAGCTAAAGTAAGCACGGATACTGGTATAAAGGTAAGAATAAAGGTAATTGAATTTTATCAATCTTCCAGCATTATAGTTGCTGTACATGTTCAAGTACAGAAAGCAATAATCTAAATATGTGTCACAAGGACTGCTCAAATTAGAAAGCATTTACAGGATCGTGGTCACAGGGCCTCTTTACACTTCTACCCCGGTAAACAGTGATAGCTCCATCCAGTTCCAGTGTGCACACACTACTGGTTGCACATATCAGTTTCCCTGTACACACTGCATGCACACAGATCCCTTAGAATCACTGACTTGAGCTTATTAATGATAGAACAGTCAACTCAATACAAATATTTTCTCATGTATTTAACTAGGCAGAGAGTTGGGTATAATTTTGAACCAGCAATTAACTGAAAACTTAGGGTCAATACTAGCATTCCCTATTTTCCTCAAAAAGTAACTAAAATCCACATTTGCTTTTTGTTCTCATGTGCCCCTGCCTGCAGAGGTTCATACAATCTTCTACATATAAGAGGTTCATAACAATCATAGAAAATACATCTAAGAGAATCACAATAGCAACTTAGCTCTCATTCATCAAAGTATTTCTGTCACAGTGGACCTGTAGCTCATTCCTTATACTCCACTGATCTTCCTAACCATGCTCACTAAACTCAATGTCTTAAACTATTAATATTGGACAGGAATCGTTGTAACATTTTCTAGAGATCTGCAAAACATGCAATCAGTCCTTAAAGAAATCACATAATAAATGCTCTCTGAAAAGTGCATACATTCTTCCTGTTCCAAGGAAGCAATATAAAAACCTCGTAGTGTTTATTCAAATAGTCACACATTATAGGCTTACTTCCTTACTTCTTCCCCCCCCCACTGATGTTTTATCATCTCTGCCATTGTCTGATCTCTAAGTCAGACAGGTGATCAGAGGGTTTAACCTGTGTTATACATATGAAAACACATATAAAATACTACACAGAACATATATCTATGAATCTCATTTAAACTGTGCTTAATAAAGCACAAATATTTATTGTAAAGCACAACAGACTATTAGGAAAATAAAGAACTTCAGATCTCTCCGTTGTTTCTGTTCACTTCTAGCGATAACAAAGATATAAAATTCTGGAAATCTACCAGACAGTTACATTTTATTATGAACACGTATGATATAAGCACTGCCAATAAATTCTACCTATTTAGTTACAGTTGACATTTATGATCTTACTTAAAGAATAATAAATGCCTTAACTTGAAATATGCACATGCTTTTAGGAAGTGAAGCATTTAGTAACTTCCATAAGAACAAGTATCTTCTATAATCTAGAAAGGTTAATGAAACCTCATTTTCTGAGGTTTCTACATGGCTGACAAATGTGACAGAAAAAGAGAGCATCTACTATCCAGAAGGGAACAGAGAAGGTAACATACTGAACAATATTCCCCTCACTGCTAATACGATATTTTAATGTCTCTTTCATAGTGTGCATTAGATAACTCATACGAGAAGTTTAAAATTATCTCTGAAGCCTGTTACAGCATACTTGCATTTTAACCTTTTAGGCAAAACAGATCACCGCTGTATTATTCTCTTATGCAAACGCAGGGAAAGAAATGCTTGAAAACTGCTCCACCGTTTCAGATTGCCCTCGCACTTCCTCCGACCTGTTTCACAGTCAATCACAAGAAGCGCGTTACGGAATACATGTCAAAGCAAAATTAGAAAATTGCACTTCGTATCCACGCATTTCAGCCACAGCAGCAGTAGACAGGGGATTCTGCAGCAACAATCGCTTCCCAGAAACTGTTCACTTGCATGTGTTAAGCACACCCCCCTTACTCTCCCCCCTATAACGGGCCGACCATCCGCTCGCAGCAGCCTCGGGCCAGCTCCTCCGGCAACACAGCGCGATCTTCCTGCGGTTCACGTGCGAGGTCCCGAACAGAAACCAGCTCCCTCCCGCACACGAGGCTTTGCGCTACAGAAAACAAGACTCCTTGAAAAGTTTTCCGGGAGGTAGAAACCAACAGAGTTCCATTGAAGAAAACTGAGCGTTTCGGGCATCCCTCCAGACTCTACTGAACAGCTCTCTCTTCAGTAAAAAGAAGTTTCTAAACCCCATCAGCCCAAACCTAACGTTAACTTACGTGGAGCGAGGAAGAGAGGGTGAGAGGGAGAGAGAAACAAGAGACGGTAATCTGCAAGGCAGAAGGATAGCTGCCACTGAAACAATGCCAACATTCGGTAAATAATATCCCTCAAAACCTGATTTTTCTTTAGCATCTAGCAATCGTTTTGTCGACAGAAAGCGGGAAGAACCTGAAGTGCCGAGCAGCTAGAAAGCTGCGGTTTCCTTCTCTCGTAAAGTCTGCCAGAAGCGGAGGAGGTGGTGGGCTTCGGAAAAGGAAACAATCAAAATAACAAGGTGGCCGATAGCTGAAGATGTTTGATTTGGGGTTTTGTTTTAAATCAGTAAAACTACTTTTTCGTATTTAAGATCGCATGAAAAGCGAGCGAGCCTTCTGTCCTGTAGATAATAATCATTATTACGATTTACCTTCTATACAGACATAAAGGATGTAACATCGATTCCGCAGAACCGAGCTGAGAAACCCGCTAAGGGACTAACATTCTCCTCCATTCCGCTAACAGGAGTCTGACAGTTAGCAGGCATCCAGCACAGACACACACAGCAGTTGGGAAAAGCGAGGGGCGCTCATTCCCCAGAAAGTTTCTCCCTCCAGTTTCGGAGAAACCTACCTGCTCTCTGGAAATGCAAGGCAATGAGGGTCTCCTACTAAACATTTTGCAGCTGCCGTGGTAGCCGGCCGAAGTCTCCCCGAGGGATACGCAGCTAGACCTCCGCCTGGGTCTGATCACAGGCACTTTCTCCTCGGCGCTGGGGAGCCGCGGCTGGTGCTGATGCTGCTGGTGCGCTCCCCGGCTGCGAGCC